ACCTAACTTTTCATCCAAGTTTGCTACTTTTACACAGCAACACTTCCCTCTTTTAGAAAGCTTTCCACCAAAACCAGGATGATGCCTAAAACATCAACAACTCATCTTCCTTCATCTCAGAAATCCCAAGCCTTTTCATAACTGAAATAGTGAAGGAACCAGGGGCTCCATGGAGTCCATGAGAGGCCTTACTACTGCCACTCGGTTTTCCATGAAAAGGACTCAGCCACTCCAGCATGTGTCCTAAAACAGTCAGCTTAAGAAATATTTGGATGAAAATTGCAGAAAAGCTTGACTAGAATAAATACTTGTAAACTCTTTTGAATTTGCTGTGGTATTCCTCACTTACCACATGGAGCTGTGAACTAAATAAAATCAGTAATTTGGTGGCTGGTCCTAACTTCTGCTGCTTGAAGCTGCCCTGTTGTTTTGTCTCAGCTATGGCCCTGTTTTCTCTCCTAATTTGTTGTGCTTGCTCAGTGAAATTGAATCCCACATCATTTCAGGCAAGTCTTGGAGAAGTTGTTTTCCTTGGTGCAGATGACTGTTTCCTCCAGATGTGACAGGCAGCTAAGAGCTGCCTCATTTTTTTTCTTAACCCTTCTGCCCATCTTGAAATCCTGCTGATGCTATGGCCGCAGTAGTACCGTGGTTCTTGCCCCATATCCGATTTTCCCGTGACTATAAGCTGTCGTGCGTGTCAGTCACAGCATGCACCACACAGGCTCCTGTTACCTAATGTAGGTTGCTTTGGTTGGTTTGGTTTGTTTTCTTGTCTGTTTTAATGAGGACAAAGTAAAATTCAAGAGCACGGTGGCCCCTGAGAGATGCCCTTGCTGGAAGCTCTCGTGGCAACCTGGCTCTGGGGAGGGTGCAGCCCTTTGTGTTTGTGGCTGCAAATGTTCCAGCCTTGCATCTTCAGCCCAATGCAGCCAAGGAGAACCTGTACCCTTGCTGTTTCCCTTCACCCTGTTTGTTTCACTTGGGAACACAATGAGCTGTCAAAATTTCCTGCCCTGTTTCCACAGAATCCTTCCTTTCGCTCCGAAAAGGATTATTTATCTAAAATTGCTAATTGCATAAATTGTCAGAACAATTGTTTAGCTTCATTTTAAGGTGGAGAGCAAAGAGATGTAAAGGTCAGGTGGTCTTATGAAAGTCGCCCTCAAAGTCCTCTGTCAAAGCAAAAAAGATAGTCCGGTGTGTTGCCATTAACGGCCCTTGTCTCTCAGAAATTAAAAATCATGTGGTATGGTGTACATCTGGCGCAATCCCTATTTTTAGTATCTCAACACGTTGAGTGTACTTAGAGGTAATTAAAAGTAATAGGGAAGAATATAAATGTTTTCCAAATAAGTGAGCCAAGAAAAAATAGAGGAAGGTAGGTGTGGTTGATTTAGCCCACCACCACTTCCTAACTAATCTTTCTGTAATGATGTAGAAAGAGACTAGGTGGCACCTGGCGAAGTATTTTGTAATAACAGATTCATGAGGTAGAGCTGCTTGATAACATCTTTGACTCATCAGAAACTTGCCTTCCCTGAAGGTAAAGTTAATAATCCTCGAATATAAGGATTTTAGTGGCTTTTACTGAGTCAGTGGGGATGCAGATTTATTCTGCATATAGATTCCTATAGTCCTAGAGACAGCCCAAACTTTTGTTATCTGTAAAAAATGTAAAATGACACAAATAGCCAATCCAAATCATCAGTAATTTTCCATGACTTCAGGTCCTCGGTTTTGCTGGTTAAATAAAACTCATTCACATTTTCTTAGTTTGAAGAACATAGAATTGGTAGTAAGTTTATTAATCCCCAGGCATAGTCCTTAACCATTTCAGGTACTCTTTCAGTGCCATCATCAGCTGCTTCGGTTGTTGTCATCTCCTTCAGAATGATATTCTTCTGATCACCTAAACGGTTCTTTTCCCACTCTGCTGCTAACCCACGTTGGGCATTGCTCCAGGGTGATTTTCCTTTTATGAAATGGCTCTTTAGTGCCCTGATCATCTTCCTAGAGGTTCTTCTCTGCACTTCTTCCAGGAGGAATTCAGCTTTCTCAGAGACAGTATTTCAGATGAACTTACACCAGGTGTTTTGACTAATGGCATCAATAGCTCCCTTGCTTTCCCTCTCTTTACTGGAATTACCTTGCCTGAATAGTGTACATACGTGTCTGAGTTGGCTAGTCTTCAGTTCTGTAGGAGGCATCAGCAGCACCATGAGAGGAAGCTGGACTACCAATAAAATGAAAGTGGAAGTTGCAGGTAGCTGGGCCATAGAGCAGTTGGGGCAGAGAAGGTGACGGTACCAGTGAAGTTTATTTAAAATAGCTGTAGCTGTATACACCTCGTATCTCCCAGCTTTGTGTTATCATCACATCTCACTAGCGTTCTCCTAATTCTATGCCAAGATCATCAAGAAAAAATTTTAAGAAGACCGTTCCCAATATGAATCTTCTAAAGATCATGCAGTAATTGTTCCCAAGCAAAAGTTTCCTTTCAGTACACTTTGTTACCTTCTTACCTTCATTTGAGGTAATTCAGTATCAGGTGTTATCTTGTATGGTCTACTTTTGGTAAGCCCATGTTGTGTTTTCTTCTGTGTTTCAGTTGTCTACCTACCTTTCACATTCCCCTCATCAAAATTCAGGGTTATACTATTAAGATGAGAGTTAGGCAGTTTCTTCCATAGGTAACTGTGTATGATTTTGTTTTTCTCTAGTACTGTGGTACCTCTTTTGATCTAATGATTTATTCTTTCATGTCCAGAAAGAAAATCAGCCTTTCTGGGTTTACAGTATTGTATGTTTTGGGTTTTTTTTCAGATTTTTGGAGTTTGAATTTCTCTCTTTTTTCCCAATGTATCTGTTGATTTAGTCACGAGTGACATGTTTATCAGTGTGTTAATGCAGGGGATTATTTGCAGTTTCCTGTTAATTCATTGGTGTATACAGAAAAACAAAAGCCTCAATCAAGGCATGCTCTGAATTTACACCCGTTCTTAATTTGCTGATGCTTGTATTAGTGACAGGCTCAAGCCTGTCTGATTTTTTGGGGTTTATACAATGTGTACCATATGCTTGCCATTCTTACTCTTTCTGCACGAAATCAGCCAATCTGATGGGGTCTACCTGTGGTGGAGAGCAGTGCTTTTAAGGCAAGGTGCTGCCTTACGAGCTCTGACTCATGGATGCTGATGAATCTTTGGTGTTTTACAAACTCTTTACCTGTTTGCTCCACCCTTCTGCCCTTTAACAGAAGGATCGCAGGGGAATAGGTTTATATACCGCGTTGCCACAACTTACACGTGATTTTAAACTGCTGATGAAGGTATACCCACGCTATTATTATCGTACCTTTGAAGTGCCACAGCTGAAGAGCAGGCAGAGGTTTGCACCTCCTGCCCCGGCTATCAGGAGGGGTAAGTGGGGTCAACAGCAGCTTGAGTTGTTTTTGGCTGGTTCCTTAGAGCCAGCGGTTGGCAAGCAGGAGCTGACTGCAAGGAACACGTGTTCTGTCTCTGGAAACAAAAAAGCAAAGCGAAAGTAAGGATGAGAGAAAATAGATTTATATTTATAATCAAAAGTGACTGTGTTTGAAATATTCTTAATTTGAGTGCACGCTCCCGTGTCTTTCGTACCTCTAAGGACCCCTAGAGGGCATGGAAGTTTTTCTCCACTCGAATGTTTAACCTAATAGTTCTACTTGGCTTTCTTCCCTTAAACATAATTGTAAGCACATTTTAAGTGAACATCAGATAGAAAAAAATAACAGCATCTAACTAGGTCCTTCTTTTTTGCTGCAAGATGTTTTCTTGTTTTTAAACACAAGCAGTAGAAGCTAGCACTAGCAGCCAAATTCTTAAATGATTTTTGTTTAGATTAGTCAGATGCTATATTCATATCCCAGAGGAAGCACAATTCAAACTAACTAATAATTCATAATTTTATTGCAAACTTTGAGAGGCCTACAGTGTGAGCTGTCTGCGGAAGTGCAGTGGGTATGCTTTCAGCACTATGGCCTGTGTTTCTGTAGAGGAGGAATTGGTATTGTGAAGAATTAGAGTACTCTAACCTGAACCTCTAAAATCTCCAAAATTCATCTTATTTAAGATTTTTAAATATTTTGGTCTTGTTATTTGCCTATAAAGAAATTACTAAATTACAGTACAAGATATGTAAAGCTATGGAAGTGTAAAAATGACATCTGCTTCCCACTGCTTCCTGTCTACTTAGAGTGAGGTTTTGTAACTCTCATTCATCCCGAGGAGCATTTTTCTTCTTAAATGAGTTTTGCCTGTTTCATCAGTGTTACGTGGTAAGTCAGGTACTAATCAATGTGAATTACACAGCGATACTAATTCTTGGTATTGTGTTGTCACTTTATGATATTTAAATTTACATTCTAAAGCTCTGGAGTAATGCTTATCTGAGAACATCAGGTTTTGCTTAAATAAAGCAGCTTCGGTGTTTGAGGAGAAGGCTGACATTTTCCAGAATGCTCAAACAGCAGTAAGTAAAACAAAAACAAACAAACAAAAACCTTAAAAAAAATCTTCATATTTTGTTCGGGGTTTTTTTCATCAACTTATGATTTTGAGACCAGTCCCACAGCTTTGGAGGTCAGTTGGACTGTGAGCCTAGTCCAAGGTTGAGACCTTTGTGTGTGATGCCATGACAGTCAGAAGCCAACTGGTCTTGTCTGGGCAAAAAACTGGACCTCTACGCTACTCCTGAAGCAGTGAGAGTCTACTTACTGGGTGAGAAGATGTTCAATAGAATAAACATGGGGGGGGTTGTGCCTTTGTTCTGGTAAGAGGATCAGCTGTACTGCTTTACCCAATTACCCAGGGATGTCATGGGAGGTGATTTTTTGGACCTTAGTTTTCCCACTGGAGGAGCGTAACATCATCACTTTGAATAGAAAATAGATCTAGATGTAAACAGCAGAGAGGGGCAGCTGCCCCTTCTAACGTCTCTGGGGATTTTGTGTTTTGCAGGAGATGCACGGGTGAGAGGTCAGACAGGGGTTCTCTCCGAGCGCCGCGGCTCCTACCCGTTTATAGACTTCCGTCTTCTTAACAGTAAGTGCAACCCTTCCTTCACGTCTGTATTTAAAAAAATGAATAAATAAAAATCTGTATTGAAAGTATACGAACCAAAGTATCTCATTTCATACATATCTATAGGTCAGCTGTCTTCATACAGTCAGCATTAATAATTCTATTATTCCACCCAGTGTTTGACTGTGAAATGTTTTGATTGTATGAATACTGTCCATAATGCTGAGTCTGTCAAGTAAATACAGTAGTGCCATGGGGTGTGCTGGGAGGGGAGGAGCAGGGGGTGCTTCAGAATTAAAAAGATAAACCTCTGTGTCCTTTAGCCTCTAAGCCAACAGTTGGAACAGATTTTTGTGAATCTGTTATCCGGTCATATAGAATTGGCACAGAAGGGGAGCATGTGACAGCACTGACCAGTGGTTTACAATAACATTAATTTTTCCAACAATTAGAACCCAATCCAAAGCCCCATGGAGTCTTCTCATTGACGTCAATGGATTTTGGGTCAGGCCAGCAGTGAACATCTGTTAAAAATAATCTTAACCTCATTTTGATTGAAGTTATTTTGCCACTGTTGTAAATAAAGGAGGGCAAATCTGAAAGAAAAAAAAATCAAGATCCTGGGGTTTTTTTCACCTGATGGATTCTCTATACTGATGCAGACCCATTAGCCAGTGTGTGAAAATTAAATAAAATAAAATAAAAACCCAGACATCTCTTAGTCTTGGGCACTGTAGCGTTCAGTTTAGATGCTGTGTTAACTCCAGTGTTCATACAGAGGCAGATCTCGATGTGTCCTTGTGTGCTGCACAGACCACTCCATGTAACCTTCGAAACAAAAGTTATTCACTCTCTTCATCAAAACAGACTGAAACTCCGACAGTTTGTTCAGTGATGCCACTTTTAAGCTTCTAGCGATTATGCTTTTCATTAAAAAGCAATTATCAAACCGAAGTTTTACGTCTCCTTTTTGTAACTGCTTTCCGGAGTGCCTGGGGAAGGGGAAGGGAGGTAGGTGGCAGGGAGGGGGGGAGAAGCCCAGACGCAAAGGGTGAGGTCTGGCTGGGAGTCAGGAGAAAAGAGGGGCTTATAGGAAGGGGGGGACTCTGATCGGCTGTATTCGCCCAAGCTGGCAAAGTTACTGCTGCCTGGCAAAGTGCTTGCTTTCAGTCTTGCTGATAAAAGGTATTTTCTAGGTCATAAGTCCATCGGAGTGCTTGCTATGGCTGAGGTAGAAAGACGTAAGATGGGTCCAGCAGTTTTCTCAGGACAAAGGGAATAACGTACTGGTTGAGCAGAGCTCTGAGGATAATTTAGTCCTGGCTTGCCAATGAAAAATGTGAAGAAAAACCTGTTTTAGGCCAGCTGGAAATATTACTGTTGATGCCCTTATAAAGACTGAGGGAAAATAAAACACTTCTTTTCATTCATGAAGTAGAAGTGAATATATATTCACATTTGAGTGTGACTAAATTGTTTCCTTTTTATTTTGAATACATACACGTTATTTAAAATTCTCATCATATGTTCCTTCTTCTCCCTGGTTAAAGACACCAAAAACTTTTCAGCTCTTTTTTCTGGCGATAGGGCTTTCACTTTTATACCCTGTAGATGAATCTTGCCATCCTTCAGATCCTGCCAGCTTCTGGGAAGCGCTGGTGCTGTCCGTGGGCTGTCTACGGAGAGATCCACGGCAAGATATGTACCGGTGAATACTCAGGCTTTGATCATACAAGGAGGAGGGCACTCCGCATAACCCCTGTCCTGTAACTGCTGAACTTAAAAGCGACGCCTCTCTCTGCATGCGCCTCTGGTCCCACGGAGGTGGGGCACCTGGGGTTTCTGTGTTCCTGTGCTCTCTGTCCCGCGGACTTCTTGCTCAGTATTTCTTTTTACCGCTTTTCCTTAATCTGAAAGAAGTCACTGTGCCTGATCATGATCTCTGTGTAAGGAAAAGCAGCGATCCTGATTTTGGACTTCTCGTTGTTTTCAGTTGTTTAAGTATTTACTGCTTTCTGCCTAGGGAGTGGTGTTGGCTGATTTTTCAGTGCAAAATTAAGTGAGATTTCTAGGCACTTGACTACTAATTTTGTAGATGGCAAGTGCACTGGGCCTGGCTCACTCCGTGACCTACAGGTAAATGAAGATGCTCAGTGTCAGAGCACACAAATGTGTGTTTTGCCAGGAAGTAGACAGACTTTTATATTATTTGTTCATATACACCTATCCGTCAAATCCATTTCTGCTGTGTATGCCATATAAGCAGCAAAACCTATGGTGCTGCACATCCTATCAAAAAGAAACATATATAAATGTCCCTACTGCAAACTTTTTTGAAACGTGCCTAACTAATACTTGCAGTAAGGGAGGGAGAGAGGCAGAGAAAGTTTTATGGTACATTTCCTCATAAGTTATAAAGAAATGCATCATAAACATTAGTCCAACTTCTCGCTAATTCAGACAAACTGAGCTTAAATAGTGATAGTTCCCTCTACCATCTGAAATACTGTTCCGAGTTACAGTACCACCCTTGTTTTAAAGTAAGGGAAAACACTGAAGCTCATTCTTGAGCAGAGTTGACATTCATTTTGAAAATTGACATTTAAAAAAAATAATCAGGGATTGCTATTTAATGTCAGACTAAAGGTTACTTAAATGTAACTTTTTTAACATGCTTACAGATTCAGTCAAACTAGTGGATTTTTCCCTCCTATGGCTATTAAGGGTTAACACCGAGTAGACCATATCTTTTGTTTTTTCTGGAGTCCTGCAGCAAAGTCACTGTGTAATTTAAGACACCGTTAAGTCTTTTTTGGATAGGAAAACTTCCTGCGCTCTGAAAATGGGATCTTCTGTAGCCCTAATCAAAGCCAACTGGATTAATGTTGGCTTCTTGCTGTTTGAGCTAATGTCTGTGATGCCATCTACACATTCCTCCGGTGCCTCTCTGCAATATATAGAAACTGAGTGAGTGTTACTTCACCATGTCAGTGCCAGGCTGTCAGGACTGTGAGGATTTTGCAGGATCCTGTCTGGAGGAGATGCAGGGCTTTAGCATCTTCCTCTCTTTTCTCTGCCTAGTTGCAAGGTTACCTTGAGGCGTAGTTGCACTGGTGGGTTTTGGGACTCTTACGATGACTCTGGAATACAAAACTGAATGTAAAATATCCCTGTGTCACCAAGAACTCCTCGGTTCTGTACTGTGAGGAGCATATGTTTGCCTCAGCCTCTTGAGTGAGTCCCTGCAACTTGTGGAGACCTGCATGACCAACCAGCTACTCGTTTGTGTTGATGGTATCGAGCCAGAAGCTTGAGGGGAAGCTACGTAGCAGCTCCTCTCCCCAGGGAAGCTGCGGCAGCTGATACGTGTTAGACAGCGTGGTGTGAAGACCCCCAGGAGGCAAGCCGACCACCTCTTTTTCCATCCTGCCGTAATAAGGCAAGGGGACCACCTGCTCCTGATGGCCGCAGATCTACCCCAGAAAAAAATAAGCTGGACATGGCAGACTTGAGGCTCCACGTTCAGTAGGGTGCTTATGAACAAATATTCAGACTTTACAAACTCCTAAACTAAGAGATACAAGTTTAGCACAGCCCTATAGGTTTATAGGAAAATGGGGAGGGGGTTTTCTCTTCATGCAAATAAGGCATTCCTTAAAATGGGAGCAGTGGAAGAAAAAAAGGCTTAGCATTAGAAACTTACTTTCCAGAAGGAGTAATGGGATAGAATAGGCAATACCTAGGTGCCATCGAGCAGCTGAGTATAATGTATAAATGATGTAAGATTGATTCCAAACCAAACCTCACAAATTTTAGGAAAGTTTGACTCTGAACTCGGTAGCTCTAGCTTGTAACTGAACCTAATGCAGGTTGAAATTAATGATGGCAGTTTATTGGCACTTCTGCATTTCTGTGAATTAAATAAACCTTTTTGTGTTCACGGGACAGAAAAGGAGTTAAACTGAATATGTGCAGTGTAATAATTTAGAATTTGAAACACTTCTGCAGTGAAAATTAACTTGATGCAATTTTCCGTTAAGCAAAGCATAGTTTGGATTTGAGAAATAAGGGACCGTAGGGTAAGGCAGCAATAATTTACTTCTCTGATTGACAAAGTTGCTCAGGGAGTCATTGAACCAGATCCCTCCAGTGACTGATATGCATTGATTAAAATAGATTTCATTATCCCATGATAAGTTGTGCTGGTGACTGTGATGGTACATTTCTTCATTGCATTAACCAAAAGTTTGAGGGAATTCCTTGTGACAAATCTAGAATTGTAGGTAGGCATGCGGCAATAACCAAGACGACCTCACCCTGCTCCAATTATATTAGATACTTTGTTTTATTGCCAGATGAAATTGAGTATCAAAATAACATCGTTTATGGCTGAGATGGGCAACTTTTTATTTACAAATTTGCTTGTCCAGCTTTAAGTCAGAAGACAAGGACATTCTTAAGACTTAAACAGTGGTTCTCCATTTCCCATCTTGTTTATGCTAAGCTTTTCTCTGGATTGAATTTTTGCAAATGACAAAATTGTTAGCCTCTAATTGACTATATTTAAATATGTCTGTCATGGAGGATTAGGATTAAAATTGTTTCTGCTTGCATTTTTAACTTTTCCTGAAAAATTCTCCATTAGGGACATTTTGTTTTTGTCACAGTATCAGTCATACCATTGCTCTCGTTACCTTGCACCCACTTGTTTTCAGTAAGCCATCCACAGTGTCTGATAGAATTCACTTCTCTATATATTGATCTAGGAAGAATAACAAGGAAAGGGAAAGGGTGTAGTATGCAAAGTGGAGTGTCTGTACCAAAGTGGTGTTACCCAAAGAGATTTCTGTTTCCTTACACCTTGCGCAACAGGAACATAGAGTGGGATCTGAGAATATCTAAAAGGTGAAAACATGTCTGTAGACACTCCAAAGGTGTATCTGCGTATTACCTAGGATAGTGGTATTGTCATGCAGGCAGAAGTTGAGTCCAAAAGAACCCCACCTGCTTTAAGCTTAGCT